GCTGGGGATTGAACCACGGTCCCTGTGCTTTGCTTAGCTTGTTCTAGGTAGGTGCTTTAGACCACTGAGCCATCTCACCAGCCCCTTGGTGCAGTTTCTTGGCCTCAGAACTGATACTGGGGGAGGTGAGTGTTAGACAATTCTTGGTCGTGGGGGCTGCTCTACGCATTGTAGCAGCATCCCTGGCTATGACCCACTGTCTGTGATTAGCACACTCTCAGGTTATTTTTTATTTTTATTTTTGTCTTTTTTTTTTTTGCAGAACCGGGGATTGAACTCAGGCTCTTGCACTTGTCAGGCAAGCATTTATTCCAATGAGCCATCTCCCTGGCCAATACATGGTTTTTGGTTTTATTCTGCGGAACTGGGGATTGACCTCAGGCCCTTGTGCTTGCCAGGCAAGTGCTTATCCTACTGAGCTATCTCTCCGACCCCTCTTTGTCTTTTTGAGACAGGGTCTCACAATGCAATTTCAGGCTGGCCCTGAGCTCACTTTATAGCACAGGGCGGTCTTGAACTCCCAAGAATCTTCATGCCATAGGCTCCTTGGGATTATAGGTATGCACCACCACATCCAGCTGATACCTTCAGTTTTAATATCACAACTGTCTCTAGGGCCAGGGAGATGGTTCAGTAGAATAAGCACTTCCCTGGCAAGTGCAAGGGCCTGAGTTCAATCCCTGGTTCTCCAAAAACAAAACAAAAAAAACTGTCTCTAGAGGTTGCCAACACCTACAGGGCAAAATCATCTCCAGCTGAGTACTGCCTTGGCAGTAGCTGAAAGATGCTAGTAAGAGAAAAGATGTCCCATATCTGCACCAGCAAGCTGCTTGCACTTGGAAGGATTTTTTTTTTTACCTAGAAAAGTGTTTCCTACCCGGCATAACAGCTACAATAGTAACATATATGAATATTATATAATATATATGCATAATAGATACTATATATATTTTAAAGTTTTTTAATTAAAGGAGACCATGCATTTGAAGGTGGGGGGACAAGGAAAGAAGGAGAGAGAGATGGCAGATAGATACTCTGGACAAGTAGGGAGCATTTGAAATGAAATGCTCCTAGGGTTATATATTTTATAAGATTTTACTTTTCCTGGAACCAGGGATTGAACTCAGGCCCTTGCGCCTGCCAGGCAAGCACTTATTCTACTGAGCTATTTCCCCGGCCACAAGATGTTTGGATTTAGCCACTCCTATAGCAAAGGACTTTCACAGGAGGCTTGCAGGTTTCACTTTTTTTTTTTTAAATTTTTTTTTATTTATTTGAGAGAGAGAGAGAGAGAGAGAGAGAGAGAGAGAGAGAGAGAGAGAGAGAGAGAGGTGTGTGTGTGTGGCCAGCTCAGCCCACCAGGGGGCGGGGCTGGCTGGCATGTGGTGCTGGGGGATTGAACCGCAGTCCCTGATGCTTTGCCAAGCTAGTTCCAAGTAGGTGCTTTAGACCACTGAGCCATCTCTCCAGCCCCCTTTTTTTTTTTCTTGCTCAATTCTTTTATTTTTTTGAGACAGGATTTCATTATATAGTCCAGGAAGGCTTTGACCGACAAGCCTGCCTCAACCTCCCTCCCAGTGCTGAAATTACAAGCTACCTCAACCAGCATCCTTCATCTTAATTCTATGCCTTACTAAGTCTATGCACAAATTCTCAATAGTGGCACTACTGAGGAAAAAGCAGGGATACTGGGAATGTACAGCCAACAACTTTTCTACTATTGCTGCCACTATTATTGGAATTGGCCTGCCTGACCTCAGCATCCAGTTGATAAGCTTTTGGAGTGAAAAGGTTATGTTAGTTCATCTCTGAACACCGAGCAACCAGCCTGGGAAAAAGCAAACCATTAGTGCTTCTGATTGAGCTAGACCTCCCTGCAGCCTCCCTTTCAGGATGTGTATGACCTGATTCCCAGCCAACAGACAGGGCTGTCCACGTCAGTTCAGTCCAGTGCCCTCTCCCCCGGCTTGGAGACTCACGCTTTAGGTATCGCCACGCTCAGCCGCACAGGCTTAGACCCCAGTCCTACTGCTCCTTGGCACTCTGTCAGGGCTCTCTTCTGTTCCAGTTCATCTGTAAATTTCACAAAACCATAACCCCTGCAGGGAAAAATAAACCAACATGCTTAGATCACAGATGTGATGAAGCCTAAGAATGGATGCCAGGGAAACAGCAAGAATGTGGACAGGGATGCACAGAGACAGGGGCTAAGAAAGGAGAGGGAGTCCATCAAGTTATGGGAAGGGATGCAAGTCCCATCCACGGAAACGGCCATGTAGTCGTGCTGGGATTCAAAACAATCATGAAATCTGCAGGAATTCTCACTTTCAGTTCACTCTTCTCCTTGATCCCTTCACCCATGGGCTTTCTTCCCAAATAGGAACTTCCTTCCCTGATCTACTGGAAGGTAAAGAATTATTATCAATATCCTAATAGTGGCAGCAGTAACAGCTGAAGTTCACTCTGCCGATGTTTCTGGAAACTACCCTATGTGCTCAGTACTACACTACACATGGGGCACAGCAGTTAGAACAGATTCCTAGTCTCTTGAGGTGTTATTCTAGCTGTAGCTGGAAATTAATGATAGCCGACATTTATTTCTGTGTGTGTGTGTGTGTGTGTGTGTGTGTGTGTGTGTGGCCAGCTCAGCCCACCAGGGGGCGGGGCTGGCTGGCATGTGGTGCTGGGGGATTGAACTGCGGTCCCTGTGCTTTACTAAGCTTGTTCTAAGTAGGTGCTTTAGACCACTGAGCCATCTCACCAGCCCCGATAGCTGACATTTAATGAGGATTTATTTCCAAGCACTTCATTCAAAACGTTGAACATTTTCCCAAGGTTATTTCATCAAACTGCCCAGACCCCTTGTCTCTCTACCCCACATTGGGGATTGAATCCAGGGCCTTTACACTCTAGCTATATCTCTAGCTCTTTACTCTTTTATTTTTTATTTTTCAGACTGGGGTTAGGTAAGTTAGGCAAATTACCCAGGCTGGGCTCAAATCTGTAATTTTTTTGCCTCAGCCTCCCAGAGTGCTGGGATTTTAGGTGTGTGCTACCACATCTAGCAAAACCATCCAATAATTACATGAAGAAGGTATCCACATTTTACTGAAGTAGCCAAAGTGCAGAGTTTAATAACATACCCAAAGTCAAACATACTGAAGCAGGACTCAAATCCAGATTCCCAAAGCATAAGCTTGACTACTATACTGATCAAGAATGAGTTTCTCGTAGGCTGAGGATGTGACTCAGTGGTAGAGCACTGGCTTCACGTGTGTGAGGCCCTTGCTCTGATACCCAACACAGCAGAAAAAGAATGGAAAAAAGGCCTTTCTTGAGTTTTTTTTTTTTTTTTTAATTGGATACAGGGTCTCACTACTCAGCTCAGACTCGTAATGATCCTCCTGTCTCAGCCTCCCAAGTGCTGGGATTACAAGCGTGCACTAACACATCCAGCTTCAGGGCTGGCATGGCATGTGGTGGTATGCAGTACCAGGGACTGAACTCAGGTCCTTGTGCTTGCCAGGCAGGTGCTTAAGACCACTGAGCTATCTCCCTAACCCCAATATTTTTGCTTCTGAAGTGAAAAATTTCTAACTGCACTGAGACTCAGTAACAATAAAACAAACACAAAGTGTTTCCTATGTGACTTTTTAAAAAATGACATTGGGCCGAGGAGATGGCTCAGTAGAATAAGTGCTTCTCTGGCAAGAGCAAGGACCTGAGTTCAATCCCCGGTTCCGCAAAAAACAACAACAACAAAAAAAACAAAAAAAACAAAAAAAACCAACAAACATTTAAACCAATTATTTTATTTATTTTGTGGCTGGCTTGGCCCACCCTGGGGTATGGCTGATGTGGCATGTGGTACCAGGGATCGAACTGCAGTCTCTGTCCCTGGCCACTTGCCTAAGCAGGCACTCTGGACTGTTGAGCTATCTCGCCAGCCCTCCTATGTGATTCATTATATTCTTTAATCCTCACATTAATTTAATGAGGGATACTATTAGTACACCCCATTTTACAGATGAGGAAGTAGGGGCAGAGGGACTTCTACCTTCCCTACAGTACTGCTCCTTGCCAATACTGGAGCTGAGATTTGGACCAGGTAGTCTAGCTCCTGAGCCCATGCTCTGAACACTTTTTGCCCTCTTTGTAACACTTCCCCAGGGGAAAGATGCTCAAAGTAATGTATTGGACTTTGGTGCAGGGACAGCCTTACTTAGACACGCCTGTCTGGTCCAGAACCACCTTGCCTCCCCGGCAGGAAGGGTACACCTTGACGAAGAACTCATACAGCATGCCGTCATCCACGTCTGGGGTCAGGTCCCCAACAAAGAGGGAGTACTCAGGGCTGAGAGGCGAGAGCAAAAGTCAGTAATGAAGATGAAAACCTTGTTCTGAGTGCAATTCTGGCCTACTCCAAGTAAATCTTTCCAGGACCTTCCGAGAACGTCCCACCCCATCTGATGGGTCTACTTAACCAAATTCTGGGTATTTTGTTTTGTTGCTGTGGGATGGGGCCCAGGGTCTCATACATACTAGGCTTAACTAGGTTCTAATATGTTCCATTATTGTTTTGGCATACGAAGAACAGAAATGCAAACAGCCCCCTGCCCTGAATTCCTCACCTACTACACAATGCCTGTTTGGGTTTTAGTATTTGTGAGTCACAGGCATGAGCCTAAGGAGCACAAAAAATAAAATTTTCTTTTGAAAGAAACTAGACATTCAGGGGCCGGGGAGATGGCTCAGTAGGATAAGCGCTTGACTGGCAAACGCAAGGATCTGAGCTCAATCCCCGGTTCCGCAAAAAAAAAAAAAAAAAAAAAGAAAGAAAAAGAAACTAGACATTCAGCTTTCCCCCACAGCCCCAACAGGGTCTTGCTATGTAATTCAGGCTGGTCTTGAACTGTGTGGCCTGGGCTGGCCTGGAATCCAAGGTGATCTTCCTGCCTCAGCCTTCCAAGTGCTGGAATTACAGATATTCAGCCATCATGCCCCAGCAAACCTGCATATTTTTAATTTACATGTTAAAAAGAGATAGAGAAGCCAGGCATGGTGGTGCATACCTGTATTCCCAGCTGTTGGGGAGACTGAGGCAGGAGAACTTGGAAGTTAGAGTCTAGACTGGGCAACTTAGTAAAACCCTATCTCAAAATAAAAAAGAGCTAGGAAGCATCTCAATGTGAAGGCCCTGGTTCAATCCCGAGTACAGATATGGTGGGACATGCCTGTAATCCCAGCACTCAGGAGACTAATGCAGGAGATCAACTTAGTTTGGAGACCAGCCCAGGCTACACAGCAAGTTCAAGACCCTTCTCAAAAAAAAAAAAAAAGGAATCACTATAAATGCTGATATAAACTTTTCTTTTTTTTCTATGACTTTTCTTTTGAATTTACCAAAGTTGAACTCATAATTCATATTTTATTTTGGTCATTTTTAGCTTCTTTCCTTTGTTTCTCAGTTTTTTAAGACAGGGTCTCACTATGCAGTCCGGACTGGTTTTAAATTTGTAGCAATCTTCTTGCCTCAGCCTCCCAAGTGCTGAGATCGCAGGTATGCACCACCATGCCTGGCAAAACTCCCTCTTGAAACAGAAAAAAACATAAAACCATGACCCAGTTTTTTTTGCTTTTTTTTGCGGGGCAGGCAGCTCAGCCCTGGTGCAGCACGTGGTGCCAGGGATTGAACTGTGGTCCCTACGGTTGCGTAAACTTGCCTAAGCAGGCACTTTAGACCACTGAGCTATCTTGCTGGCCCATGACCCAGTATTCTGACACATCAGTATTATACAGCATGAGTAATTAACCAATATATAATATTCCAATTAGATAACATTGTAATTTTCCTACTTCTCTGTCACTAGGTTGTGGCTGTCCATACCATCCTCAATGCACCTGATTTTGTCTATTATTAGGCTGTATGATTTCCCTCCCAACTTTATCATTATATGTATCACTTCTTCAGAGGCTACTCTTCATACATTCATGAAAAAAAATTCTGAAAAACTAAATGTACAGGATCAACGGGTACAAAACTTTTATAAGTTCAAATATTTTATTTTTCCTCCAAACAAAACTGAATGCATGCCAGCCAGGTGGCACAAATCTATAATACTAGCACTGGGGAGGCTGAGGCAGGAGACTGCAAGAGTTGGAGGCCAGCTGGGCTTTGCAGTGAATCAAGCCAGCCAGAGCTACATAGTGGGAACAAAAAAACCAGGTGTGGTGGCACAGGCCTGTAATTCTAGGAATCACTTGGGAAACTGAGGCAGGTGGCTCACTGAGCTCTGAACTACACAGTGAGACTCTTGTCTCATAAAAGGTTAAAAAAAAAAAAAGCTGGGCATGGTAGTATACCCCTGTAATCCCAGCACTGGAAAGCTGAGACAAGAGGCTCTCTGGGAGTTGAGACCATCCTGGGCCATAAAGTGAGCTCAAGGCCAGCCTCAACTGCATGGCAAGACCCTGTCTAAAAAAGATGACAACAACAACAACTGAACTCAGGGCCTTCATGCAGAGCTAAATCCCCAACCATTTTTATATTTTATTTTGAAAAAGGCTCTAAGTTGCCAAGGGTGGACTCAAATTCATTATCCTCCTACCTCAACCTCCCAGAGTACTGGGATTATAGGCATGTGAAAGTGTGTTCTACCATGCCCAGCTGATGTTGTCTTAAAAATTTCATACAAGTAGGCGTGGTGGTGACACAGGCCTGCAATCTCAGCATTCTGCAATACTGAAGCAGGAGGAGCACTAGTGTGGGCCCAGCTGGGGCAATTTAGGGGCTTAAAAAAGGAGGGTAGAGGGGCTGGGGAGATGGCTCAGTGGAATAAG